GCTCCCTGAGGTGGAATGATTTATCCAGCTGATAACTTATTCATGACAGCAGCCTGGTAGAGCTAGAGCTTGCCGTGGATCCCTGTTATAAATAGGGCAGGTGTGAGCACCTGGCTGGCTGGAGGCTGGGGGAGGTTTGTCCTGTGATGGCTGGAGCCCAGGAATTGGAAGCTGCAGTGAGCTTTGATCAGGCCACTGCTCTCCAGCCTGGGCGGCAGAGCCAGATCCCATCTCTATTTTTCTTTCTTTTCTTTTTTTTTTTGAGACGGAGTTTCACTCTTGTTACCCAGGCTGGAGTGCAATGGCGCGACCTCGGCTCACGGCAACCTCCGCCTCCTGGGTTCAAATGATTCTCCTGTCTCAGCCTCCCGAGTAGCTGGGATTACAGGCTTGAGCCACCGCGCCCGGCCCCATCTCTATTTTTATTTATTTATTTATTTTAAAATGTATTTACTTATTTATTTTGAGACGGAGTTTCGCTCTTGTTACCCAGGCTGCATTGCAAATGGCGCGATCTCGGCTCACTGCAACATCCACCTCCCAGGTTCAAGCAATTCTCCTGCCTCAGCCTCCCAAGTAGATGGATTTAGAAGCGTACGTCACCACACCCAGCTTTGTATTTTTAGTAGAGACGGGGTTTCACCAATTTGACCGGGAGGGTCTCGATCTCTTGACCTCGTGATCAAGTGCTGGTATTATAGGCGTGAACCACCGTGCCCGGCCCAAATAATTTTTTTGAGATGGAGTCTCGCTCTGTCACCCAGGCTGGAGTGCAGTGGTGCGATCTCAGCTCACTGTAACCTCCCCCTCCCTGGTACCAGTGATTCTCCTGCCTCAGCTTCCCAAGCAGCAGGGATTACAGGCACCTGCCATCACACCCGCCTAACTTTTGTATCTTTTTCACCATGTTGATCTTGAACTCCTGTGCTCAAGTGATCCGCCCACCTGGGCCTCCCAAAGTGCTGGGATTCAAGGCGTGAGCCACGCCCCCGGCTGTGCCCAGGCTTCCAGGAGCCCTGAGCAAACACTATCCCGTTATAGGAATGAGAACTTGAAGCCGCCGCAGGTGAGTTATCTACCTGGGTGGGGGGGTGGAGGGGGTCAGCGGGGTGGGGGGTGCAAGGGGTGGAGGGGGTCAGGGGGGTGGAGGGTGTCAGTGGGATGGAAGGGGTGGAGGGGGTCAGGGGGGCGGGTCGGGGGGGTGGGGGATTGGGGGTGGGGAGGTTGGGGTGGAGGGGGTCAGGGGTCAGGGGGCTGGAGGGGTGGAGGGGGTCAGTGGGGTGGGGGGGTGGGGTGGGGGGTCAGGGGGGTGGGTGGGGGATTGAGGGTGGGGAGGTTGGGGTGGAGGGGGTCAGGGGGTGGGTGGGTGGAGGGGTGGAGGGGGGTCAGTGGGGTGGGGGGGTGGAAGGGGTGGAGGGGGCGGGGGGTGGAAGGGGTGGAGGGGGTCAGGGGGGTGGGTGGGTGGAGGGGTGGAGGGTGTCAGTGGGGTGGGGGGTTGGGTTGGGGGGTCGGGGGGGTGGGTGGGGGATTGGGGGTGGGGAGGTTGGTGTGGAGGGGGTCAGGGTGGGGTGGGGAGGTGAGGGTTTCGGCTGCATCTTCGGTGTTTGCTGCCCTCTGGTGGCAGCGTGCGTTGGCTCCTCTTCAGCTCACACCAGGAAGTCACGTCCAAGTCCCTGGTCGTCCGGTGAGGATTTGTGAACTTCCTGGGTCAGCAGCAACCAGAATCAACACTGATTCTCATTCTGCACTGATTTTCAGCAGGTGCCTGGACCCCCACGATGGCCCCCACAGCAGGGGTGTCAATGTGGTGACTGTACTTACAGGTAAGGAAACTGAGGCTGGGAGAGGGGTAGGCCTTACCCGGGATCCCTCAGGGACATGTGGCAAATCTGGGACTCCGTCCCGGGCTTGGAGCTTGGAGCCCCCAACACGGAAGGAAGCTGAGGAAGCTGCGTGAGGCCTGGAAGCAGCTGAGCCTAGAGCTGGCCCTACACGGATGTTTCAGTCACGGGAACCGTAAGCCCAGTTTTGCCAAAGTCCGTTTGACATGTGACATGGTGATGTTTTGTGTTCTCTCCCCAAGTGTCTTTTTTTTTGAGACAGAGTCTTGCTGTGTTGCCCAGGCCAGGGTGTAGTGGTGCGATCTCAGCTCGCTGCAACCTCCACTTCCCGGGTTCAAGTGATTCTCTTGTTTAAGCCCTGAAGTATCTGGGACTAGGCAGGTGCCACCATCCAGGCTAAATTTTTTTTTTTTTGAGCCGGAGTTTCACTCTTGTTACCTAGGATGGAGTGCAATGGCGCGATCTCAGCTCACCGCAACCTCCACCTCCTGGGTTCAGGCAATTCTCCTGCCTCAGCCTCCTGAGTAGCTGGGACTACACCATGCCCAGCTAATTTTTTGTATTTTTAGTAGACACCTGGTTTCACCATGTTGACCAGGATGGTCTTGATCTCTTGACCTTGTGACCCACCCGCCTCGGCCTCCCAGAGTGCTGGGATTACAGGCGTGAGCCACCGCACCTGGCCTTAGTTTTTAGTATTTCAGATGGAGTCTCACTCTTGCCCAGGCTGGAGTGCAATGGCGCGATCTCGGCTCACTGCAAATTCTGCCTTCTGGATCTGAGTGACTCTCCTTCCTCAGCCTCCGAATAGCAGAGATTACAGATGCAGCCACCACACCAGCTAATTTTTTGTATTTACTAGAGTTGGGGTTTCACTGTGATGGTCAGGCTGGTCTCGAACTTCTGACCTCAGGTGATCCACCCACCTTGGCCTCCCAAAGTGTTTAGAACTACAGGCGCGAAAGAGGCCGGGCGCGGTGGCTCACACCTGTAATCCCAGCACATTGGGAGGCCGAGGAGGGTGGATCACGAGGTCAAGAGATCGAGACCATCCCGGTCAACATGGTGAAACCCTGTCTCTACTAAAAATACAAAAAATTAGCCAGGCATGGTGGCAGGTGCCTGTAATCCCAGCTACTCGGGAGGCTGAGCCTGAACCCAGGAGGCGGAGGTTGCGGTGAGCCGAGATCGCGCCATTGCACTCCGGGTAACAAGACCAAAACTCTGTCTCAAAAAAAAAAAAAACCAGCAAAAGAGTTAATTATCCTCCCTTTCCTACCCTATCGTGAATATACCGCGCTGGGAGCAAACCTGGAAATTGTGTGAACTCCCTCCTGCTGCAGGGAGGGACGTGGTCACAGCCCTCCCACAGGCCCGCTCTGATGTCCCAGGCCTCCAGACGCCCTCCCGCCCCTGGGAATTTCACTAGGAATTCATGTAAACCTCTCACGAAATACCTTCAGGAATGTGTGTGCTCAGCAGGCAGAATTCTGTCTGATTTTCCAAGGGCATGACTCATTACAGAAACTAAATCTTTTTTTTTTTTTTTGAGACGGAGTTTCGCTCTTGTTACCCAGGCTGGAGTGCAATGGCGCGATCTCGGCTCACTGCAACCTCCACCTCCTGGGTTCAAGCGATTCTCCTGCCTCAGCCTCCCGAGTAGCTGGGATTACAGGCACCTGCCACCGTGCCTGGCTAATTTTTTGCATTTTTAGTACAGACGGGGTTTCTCCATGTTGGTCAGGCTGTTCTCGAACCCCTGACCTCAGATCTACTCACCTCAGCCTCCCAAAGTGCTGGGATTGCAGGTGTGAGCCACTTCGCCCAGCTGAATTAAACTAAATCTTAAGAAAACAGGACAGAGCCAGGTCTGATGGAGGCAGCTCCCTGAGGGCAGATGCCTCCTCCATTGGCCTGGGGTCTCCCTGAAGGCGGGGCTCTCCCTCCTCCCTCTGTCACTGCTCTGCCCAGGTGCAGCCCCTCTGCCCCATTCCCCAGCCTCCCCAGTGCCCCACAGCCCCCACTGACCAGCTATTTCCGGTCCACATCTGCCTGCCTGGGCTCGGCTCGGGCTGCCTTAAAGATGGATTCTTAGGGCCGGGCGCGGTGGCTCATGCCTGTAATCCCAGCACTTTGGGAGGCCGAGGCGGGCGGATCACGAGGTCAAGAGATCGAGACCATCCTGGTCAACATGGTGAAACCCCGTCTCTACTAAAAATACTAAAAATTAGCTGGGCATGGTGGCGCGTGCCTGTAATCCCAGCTACTCGGGAGGCTGAGGCAGGAGAATTGCCTGAACCCAGGAGGCGGAGGTTGCGGTGAGCCGAGATCGCGCCATTGCACTCCAGCCTGGGTAAGGAGAGCGAGTCTCCGTCTCAAAAAAAAAAAAAAAAGATGGATTCTTAAAATAGTCACAGTGTGGTTTTCCCTGTGGTACCACAGCGGTGCTGAGTAACCGAGGAGGAGCCACTGGCTTGGGTGTCATTCACACCCGCTGCTCCCAGAAGGGTTGGGGGATCCTGGGGGCCGAGGCCTGCTTTGCGGGTGTCTGAGGACACACCCCTGCCATCAGGCACTGAATCTGACTTCACTGTGTGCTGAGAGCTTTACATAAATTAGCTCCTCCTACGGCCTGGGGGCCTGGTCCTATCATTATTCCTGTGTCAGAGGGAAACTGAGGCACGGGGCAGTGAGAGTGGGGCACTGTGGCCCCACTCAAGGTCACATAACAGGCAGCAGAGCCAGGACGTGGGTCCAGCGCCCATGTGTCTGAGCGGTGGGATCTAGCTTCCCTGGATGTGAGCCTGGTATACATGCAGAGCCGAATTAATGACCTTCCAGCCTCTTCTGAGACCAGAGGGGTGGGGGATTCGGCAAGTGCTTCCTATGGCGGGATGGGGCCGGGGGAGCAGGGCTGGCCGGGTTGGGCCCCGGGCCCGGGGTTGCTAGACATGCCTCTCCCTGCTCAGTCTGTCAGTCACGGAACAAGCATCAGCTAAGCACCGACTGCACGCGGACGCTGGGAACCCCCATGGAAGCCTGACAGCGATGGGGGCGGGGGGGGTGGCTCACGGCCTAGCAGGGCGACAATGTCACCAAGGAAATGGAACAGACAGAAAGCCCGGGGGCCTTCGACAGCACCAGGCGGGGGCCGAGGCAGGCAGCTCACTCCAGGTTTATTTTATGACGGTTTGGGGGTGTGGGAGAAAGACCCACCTCTAGCCCCTAAATTGTGCCCTTTCTCTCCCAGGTGAGGGGGACCATCCTCATGGGATCCTATTGACATTAGAGCTTGCGCCCACTAGGTGTGGCTGGGTGCACCGAGGTGAAGGGTCTGAGGGCTGCACAGGGGCCCCCAGCACTGGGAGTTTGGCCTCCTCCGTCAGACTGCATGGTTCCTGAGGGTTGGAATGGGACAGGTGTCCCCTGTCAGCCTGGGACTTCTCAGAGGGAGGAGCTGAGTGTCTCCTCCCTTGGACACGCACGCTCCTCGAGGTGCCAGCGTTTGTGTAACCCTTGACAAGTCCCTCTGCCCTCAGACTGGCGGAAACAAATCACTCCTGAAAGTGGGGCAGCGGGTCTCCCCCTTTCTAAGACGCAGAGCGTGTGGCAAAGTCTTAGAAGCGGAAAGAATCGGCAGGGGTCCTATTTCACCCCCAAAAGCATTAGACCCCAAATGCAGATGTATTTTTTTTTTCTTTTTTTTTGAGACGGAGTTTCGCTCTTGTTACCCAGGCTGGAGTGCAATGGCGCGATCTCGGCTCACCGCAGCGTCCGCCTCCGGGGTTCAGGTGATTCTCCTGCCTCAGCCTCCCGAGTAGCTGGGACTACAGGCATGCGCCACCATGCCCAGCTAATTTTTTGTGTTTTTAGTAGAGACGGGGTTTCACCATGTTGACCAGGATGGTCTCGATCTCTTGACCTCGTGATCCACCCGCCTCGGCCTCCCAAGTGCTGGGATTACAGGCGTGAGCCACCGCGCCCGGCCTTTTGCAGATGTATTTCTAAAGGAAGAACCTCCAATTCCAGATGCGTCCATGGTGGGAGCGTTGGCAGATCAGCCATGGTTCTTGGATCTAGGGCCCATTTCCTAGGGTGGGGTTTGGCAATGGTGTTGGCAGTTCCCATGAGGGTCAGGGCCGGGCAGAGGGTGGGCGCCCCATCCCGAGGCTTAGTCATCCTCCTCACTGGCGTGGATGCGTGATTCCCAGCGCTCTGCCATGGCGTTCTTGTGGCGGGTCACCCGTATGGCTTCCAGGACCTGTAAAAAGGAGGCACGAAGTCCCCCCATCGGGTCGTAACCACACCCCAAAGATGTCTCCTCCAACTGCCAATTCATTAGGCCTAGAACCAGGGGTAAAGTAGGACCATCCCCTCCTCTGTTTCAGAGCCTCTACTCCTAGTAATATGACCACAGGATATGCTAACTATGCTGAGCTCCAGGGCAGGAGAAATGTCGGTATTTGGCATTTTGAATGAAGTTCAAAGAGGGGGTTAGACATGGTGGCTCATGCCTATAATCGCAGCAGTTTGGTGGGCTGAGGTGGGAGGATCCTTTGAATGCAGAAATTCAAGAGCAGCCTGGGCAACCTGGCGAGACCCTGTCTCTATGAAAAGATTAAAAACAAATAATCTCGGTGTGGTGGCACATGTTCCTGAAGGGGGAGGACTGCTTCAGCCCAGGAGGTCGAGGCTGCAGTGAGCTGGGATCACATCACAGCACTCCAGCCTGGGTGACAGAGTGAGACCCTGTCTCAAAATAAATAAGTAAATAAATAAATAAAAGTTTAAAAAGCGGAGGGCCATGCAGGTGTGCAATATACCAACTGAGTGGGCTAGGCTTATATAGTCTCAGATGCAACCCTCCCTTAAGGAAAGTGCCTTTGGCCGGGCGCGGTGGCTCACTCCTGTAACCCCAGCACTTTGGGAGGCGGAGGTGGGAGGATCACCTGAGGTCAGGAGTTCGAGACCAGCCTGGCCAATATGGCGAATCCCTGTCTCTAGTAAAAATACAAAAATTAGCTGGGCCTGGTGGTGGGCACCTGTAATCCCAGCTGCTTGGGAGGCTGAGGCAGGAGAATTGCCTGAACCTGTGGGGCAGAGGTTGCGTTGAGATGAGGTCACGGCACTGCGCTCTAGCCGGGGTGACAGATGAGACTCTGAACTCCTGACCATTAAAAAAAAAAAAAAATAGAAAGCCGGGCGCGGTGGCTCACGCCTGTAATCCCAGCGCTTTGGGAGGCCGAGGCGGGTGGATCACGAGGTCAAGAGATCGAGACCATCCTGATCAACATGGTGAAACCCCGTCTCTACTAAATATACAAAAATTAGCTGGGCATGGTGGCGCCTGCCTGTAATCCCAGCTACTCGGGAGACTGAGGCAGGAGAATCGCCTGAACCCAGGAGGCGGAGGTTGCGGTGAGCCGGGATCGCGCCATTGCACTCCAGCCTGGGTAACAAGAGCGAAACTCCGTCTCAAAAAAAAAAGAAAGTGCCTTTGTTTGAGGTCTAACCTCACAAACCTTCATCACTTGGTGGAGAGGTGGCACGTGGACCTTTTCTCCTAACCCACGTCCATGGCAGACATCACAAGCAGATCACAGCAAAATCCACCTCGGGCAGACACTAGCAGTTGAGAAGACACCCAATAGGATCCCCACACCTGGAGGAAGGGGCGTCCATTGGCCCCTGTGTGCAGGGGCACAGATGTTGAGTCTTTATGCCAGTAGCACACTCACCTCTGAGTTGACACGGTCCGAGGGGTCGATGCCAGCATACTGCAGGAGAAGGAACACGAGTCAGCCCCAGCCTTTCTGCCCTGCCTGGTGCAGAGTCCACCCGTAGCTCCCACACAGCCCTCTCTGCCACCTTCTGGGGAAGAATGGAAGGCATCCCCTGCCCTCGGTGTTCCCAACACGTTTCCCATGATCACCCAGACTCACAGCCATCCGCCTGACTGTTCCTCATGCTGTTCCCCCCAGTGCAGCCTCTGTCCAACATTCATGATTTTTAAATTTTATTATTTATTTATTATTATTTTTGAGACGGAGTTTCGCTCTTGTTACCCAGGCTGGAGTGCAATGGCGCCATTTCGGCTCACCGCAACCTCCGCCTCCTGGGTTCAGGCAATTCTCCTGCCTCAGCCTCCCGAGTAGCTGGGATTACAGGCGCACACCACCGTGCCCAGCTCATTTTTTGTATCTTTAGTAGAGACGGGGTTTCACCATGTTGACCAGGATGGTCTCGATCTCTTGACCTCGTGATCCACCCGCGTCGGCCTCCCAAAGTGTTAGGATTACAGGCGTGAGCCACCGCACCCGGCCCACCTCAGGGGTTTAAGTGATTCTCCTGCCTCAGCCTCCCAAGTAGCTGGGATTACAGGCACCCACTACCACGCCCAGCTAATTTTGTATTTTTAGCAGAGACAGGGTTTCTCCATGTTGGCCAGGCTGGTCTTGAACTCCGACCTCAGGTGATCCACCCACCTCGGCCTCCCAAAGTGCTGGGATTACAGGCGTGAGCCACCGCGCCCGGCCTTATTTATTGATTGATTTATTTAGAGTTTGAGTCTTTGACTCTTGCTCTGCCACCCAGGCTGGAGTGCAGTGGCGTGATCTTGGCTCACGGCAGCCTCCACCTCCCAGGTCAAGCAGTTCTCCCGCCTCAGCCTCCCAAGCAGCTGGGATTCCAGGCGCCCGCCACCACACCCAGCTAATTTCTGTATCTTTAGTAGAGATGGGGTGTCACCACGTTGGCCAGGGTGGTCTCAAACTCCTGACCTCAAATGATCTGCCCGCTTCGGTCTCCCAAAGTGCTGGGACGCCAGGCTCGTGATGACTGTTTCAGTCCATCATAACCCACACAGGCAGCTTTCACGGTGGCCAGGCCTTGGCACCAGCGCTTGACCCACGTGATCCCACTGCATCCCACTGTGGAGTCTCGGGGGGGTCTCATTTTACAGAGGGGGAGACCCAGGACCAGAGAGGGACTGCGGCTTGCCCGAGGTCCCCCGGCCAGCGGGTGGCAGGGTCAAGGCGGGAACTGGGCCAGTGGGCTCCAGGCTGCGCCCTGAACCACGGGGTCATGCTGTGAACATCAGGAGAGTGAGGTTGGGGTTTGTGTTCTTCTCAGCAGTGTCCCTGAAGTCCTACCCAGGGAAAAGAGTGACCCCCTCAATTACCATTAACACATAATATTCCGGCCAGTCGTGGAGGCTCACGCCTGTAATCCCAGCAGTTTGGGAGGCTGAGGTGGGCAGATCACTTGAAGTCAGGAGTTCAAGACCAGCCTGGCCAAAGTGGTAAAATCCTGTCTCTACTTAAAAATTAAAAAAAAAAAAAAAAAAAAAGAGCCAGGCATGGTGACAGGTGCCTGTAGTCCCAGCTACTTGGGAGGCTGAGGCAGGAGAATCACTTGAACCCAGAGGCAGAGGTTGCAGTGAGCCAGGATTGCGCCACTGCACTCTAGCCTATATGACAGAGCGAGACTCCGTCTCAAAAAAAAAATGGCTGGGCATGGTGGCTCACTCCTGTGATCTCAGCACTTTGAGAGGCTGAGGTGGGTGGATCTCGAGGTCAGGAGTTCGAGACCACGCTGGCCTGACTAACATGGTGAAAACCCGTCTCTACTCAAAAATACAAAAACGAGCCAGGAGTGGTGATGCGCAGCTGTAATCCCAGCTCCTCTGGAGGCTGAGGCAGGAGAATCACTTGAACCCGGGAGGCGGAGGTTGCGGTGAGCCGAGTACGTGCCATCGCACTCCAGCCTGGGTGACAGAGTGAGACTCCGTCTCAGAATAAATAAAAGAAAATAATAAAATAATGGTGGCATAAATGACGATAAATCGCCACTGCCCTCTTCCTCCAAGCGGAATTGGTCCTTCGGTCTTTCATCATGGAGATGACCTCCCGAGCGGGACAAAGACCCCACCTCTGTGGCCTCTCCGAGCAGAAGTGCACAGATAAGAGGACACCAGCTTATCATCCTTTACCTGACATCTTTGGGAGACTGAGGCACAGCCAGCAGCGGGCAGTGAGGGAAGCGGTGCTTGAGCCCCGGTCAGGCTTGAGTCCCGCTCGAACCTCCCGGGGCCCTCAGGGGCCGTGTGACCTCAGCCTGGTCTCTGCAGACACGGGCTCCAGACTCACCCACTGCTCCTTCCTTCTCTGCCCGGGAGGAGCATTGTCCCCTGGATCTTTTGCCGTCCACGCCAGAGTTGAGTGCAGGTGGGTGGGGGTGAAGAGGGGGGACTCAGACACTGAGTAACTCCCTGTGATGCCTGGGTGGGGAGCAGGGAGGGCAGAACATTAGAACGTTTGTCAGACCTCAGCTTGGAGACGGGGTCTCTAACCAACAGCCGTAAGGGGGACAGACAGAGCAGACAAGGAGTTGGGAAACTGACAGACAGACGGACCAAAGTCGCCGGTCGGGAGGACTCGGATGGACGGATGGGCCGACGCACAAGGTGGAAAACGTTAAGAGCGACACAAGAAATATTTCTTGTCTTTTTTTTTTTTTTTTGAGACGGAGTTTCGCTCTTGTTACCCAGGCTGGAGTGCAATGGCGCGATCTCGGCTCACCGCAACCTCCGCCTCCTGGGTTCAGGCAATTCTCCTGCCTCAGCCTCCCGAGTAGCTGGGATTACAGGCACGCGCCACCATGCCCAGCTAATTTTTGTATTTTTAGTAGAGATGGAGTTTCACCATGTTGACCAGGATGGTCTCGATCTCTTGACCTCGGAATCCACCTGCCTCGGCCTCCCAAAGTACTGGGATGACAGGCTTGAGCCACTGCGCCTGGCCTATTTTTTTTTTTTTTAAGACAGGATTTCACCATGTTGATTAGGCTGGTCTTGAACTCCTGACCTCAGGAGATCCGCCTGCCGTGGCCTCCAAAGTGCTTGGATTACAGGCGTGAGCCACCACACCTGGCCGAAATATTTCCTATTGACAAAGGTGCAATCATCCAAGTGGATGAACATATATCAACAGGCTGGGCGTGGTGGCTCACACCTGTAATCCCAGCACTTTGGGAGGCCGAGGCGGGTGGATCACGAGGTCAACAGATCGAGACCATCCCGGTCAACAAGGTGAAACCCGGTCTCTACTAAAAATACAAAAAATTAGCTGGGTGTGGTGGCGCGTGCCTGTAATCCCAGCTATTCGGGAGGCTGAGGCAGGAGAATTGCCTGAACCCAGGAGGCGGAGGTTGCGGTGAGCCGAGATCTCACCATTGCACTGCAGCCTGGGTAACAAGAGTGAAACTCCGTCTCAAAAAAAAAAAAATTATGCACCTAACAACAGGCATCCAAATCCATAAAGCAAAAGTCCTAAGACAAAGTTGACACTTCTCTCCAAAATCTACATTTTTCGTAGACAGGCAGACAAACCAGCAGACTCAGGGGGAGGAACACAGTCAGGAGACAATGTCTCCCCAGCCCCACCCCTTCCCGACATCCTCAAACGCCACCTCCCCACCCTCCCCTGCTCCAACCTCTGAGACCCTGAGCCAAGCAGCCACTCGCTGGAGCCCCTTCTCACCGGACGCCCGGGAGGAACTCCTGGAGTCCTGGTCGCGGCTTTCGTCAGGCGTCGGGGCGAAGACCTCCGGGAAGAGGGCATTCCTCCGCTCCTCTGCCACCTCTCGTTCCCGGCGCAGGACGCTCTCCATCTCCCTCTCCAGCAGCTCGGACGACTGGGACCTCTGAAGCCTCAGCGCCGGGGCCCCGGCCACCTCCCAGCCCCAGACGGGAGGGACTTGGGCCTGCTGGGGCACGTCTTGGATCCTGAACAGCAGAGGGCGTATAATGGGGTAGTCCCACCGCAGGACACCCCCGTCTGCTCGCAGGGGTCCCTGAGGGGACTTCAAGTGCTCTTGCTTTGTGGTCAGGGGTCTTCCAGAGGATTCTGAGAGATGCCTTGGGGACATCGTGGCCTTTGGTGTCGGCGAAGCCTTGGCCTCAGTGGTGGAGAGCCTGCTGGGCTTGCCGGATGCGCCAAAGGCTGAGAATTCTAACCGGGGGGTCCCGGGGCTCAGGTACGGCTGGTAGGCATCAGGCGGGATGCGGTTCACCTTCCTCACTTCTGGAGCTGGGTCAGCCGCACGGGCATCTGGGGCCGGGCTGAGGACGGAGTCCGAGCTGAGAGCTCTCCGGAGACCAGGCTGGGCATCCTCCGAGGCCCGGTCACGTGCGGACGCCCGGCCCAGCTGCAGGCCCTCCCGCCGGTGGTCTTTCTCGCGCTGCGTCTCCTGTACCATGTCCCGCTGCACGTACAGGGACGGGTGCCCTCTGTCCCGCCGTGGGACTGTGGTCGGGCTCGCCTTGGTCAGCAGCGGCCGGGTGGGGATTTCCACCAGCTCCTGGTGGTCGGCTGCCGGCCGAAGCCCCCTCTGCTCTCGCAGGTCCGCCTCACGCTCCTGAGCCAGTCGGATCTCCCGCTCGATGGGGGTCTCCCTGGGGGTCTCCGGGGACTCCACCGGGGCCGGGGAGCCAGGGTCATCCACAACTTGGACACTGGCCCAGGTGGGCACACCTTGCATCCTCTTCTCTTCCCTGACCACCCTCTTCACCTGGGGCTTGATGGGGACTACATGCCCGTTGGCCAGGTGGGGCTTGGTGAGGGCCCTGGGGACCTGACTGACCTCTCGGGCTGTGCCTGCGGGCGCCCCCCTGGCTGGGGAGCTATGAGGGACCTCCTTGTTCACCTGCTCCAGACTCAGGAACTGCTGTCTCGCTGCCAGGAAGTCAATCTGCTCCGTGTCAACCACGTTGTCCTCCAGGGGCGTGGACCCAGGTGGGCCGGGGATCCTGGGGTCTCCGTGGGCAGAGGTACCCTGGAGCGTGGCCACGGTGCCGCTCTTCCTGACTGCCTGGCCCTGGATGACGGCCCAGCGCTCCCGCTCCAGGTCCCACGGCCTCCTGGGGATGGCATCCCCGGCTCCCAGGTGGAAAGCCTTCACCTCCTCGTCCTCCCCATCCTCCAGGTGGAGGGCCCGGGCTGGGCGTCCCTGGTGGGCCTCCCCGGTGCCCAGGTAGTAAACCTTCAAATCCTCGTCCTCCCCGTTCTCTGGGTGGAGTCCCCGTGGGGACCGCCAGCCAGGGTGGGCATGCTTGCTGTCGAACACCCGCCTCGCCACGCCCGGCTGGGCCTTGTGGTCAGTGGGCCACGCCTGTGGCTCGTCCTGGTCCCAGCCACTGGCCTCGGGGCCGGAGCGCACCAGATGGTACGTGTAGCTGGTGTCTCCATCCAGCACCAGGCCAGTGGCGCGGTGTGCCTGCGGGATGCCCAGGATGGGGTATCTGGTCACGCGGTCCATCTCCTCCGGGGTCTTGGCCTTGACCTTCCTAGCGTGTGCTGGAGACCTCCGGGCTTACTGAGGGAGGAGAAGGAAATGATGGCCGTCAGGTCAACACCTAAGGAGAGGAACAGTTTCCAGTTCAAGCAATTCTCCTGCCTCGGCCTCCTGAGTAGCTGGGACTACGGGCATGCGCCACCGTGCCCAGGTAATTTTTGTATTTTGAGTAAAGACGGGGTTTCACCATGTTGGCCACGCTGGTCTTGAACTCCCGACCTCAGGTGGTCCGCCTGCCTTGGCCTCCAAAGTGCTTGGAATACAGGCGTGAGCCACCACGCCCGGCCGGTCTTTACAATTAACTCAGAAGATTAGACCCTCATTTGCCTGGTTTTGAGGCCGATGGGGTGAGGCAGTGAATTGCTGGGCGCCGTAAGTGCCCCAGTGGGTACACGTTGCTTGAGAGCAACCCCAGCCGCAGCAAAGCATCCTGAAAACTTCTAAGCTCCTTGATCCAACCGTACCTGAATCTCTGTTATTAATCCAACACCTTGCGCTACACGTACCTAACATTTGCAGCCCGATAAAATCAGGGTGCCCTGCCCACCTTATCTCCCAGACTCCCACCCCTGCCATGTGGAGCCCAGCTCTATGTCCAGCTCAGCCTCAATTTGTATTTATTTATTTATTTACTGAGACGGAGTTTCACTCTTGTTGCCCAGGCTGGAGTGCAATGGTGCCATCTCGGCTCACCGCAACCTCTGCCTCCTGGGTTCAAGTGATTCTCCTTCCTTAGCCTCCCAAGTAGCTGGGATTACAGGCATCTGCTACCATGCCCAGCTAATTTTGTGCTTTTAGTAGAGACAGGGTTTTACCATGTTGGCCAGGCTGGTCTTGAACTCCCAACCTCAGGTGATCCACCTGCCTCAGCCTCCCAAAGTGCTGGGATTACAGGTGTGAGCCACCAGGCCCGGCCGATTTTGATTTTTAGTTATTTTTGAGACAGCTCACCCCAACCTTCACCTCCCAGGTTCAAACGATTCTCCTGCCTTGGCCACCTGAGTAGCTGGGACTACAGGCGTGTGCCACTGTGCCCAGGTAATTTTTGTATTTTCAGTAGAGACGGGATTTCACCATATTGGCCAGGCTGGCCTAGAACTCCTGATCTCAGGTGATCCTCCCGCCTCGGCCTCCCAAAGTGCTGGGATTACATCTGTGAGCCACCGCGCCCGGCCTCAGCCTTGGTCTTTGAAGCCTCCCTGGGCCCGCGACATATTTACCTGTGTCTCCTGGGCACAGACCCTTTCAACCCTGAACTCACTCTGAGACTCCTGGTGAGGGAGTTTTTCACCCCTTGCTGAGGGATGTCAAATGGAGAAACTGAGGCCCAGAGAGGTGAGGGATTGACAGTAACTCCAGTTTCCCGGCTCCCACATCCTGGTTCTCCACCCTGCCCTGCCCAGCTGGACACCTTGTCCCATCTCCCATCTGAGACAACGCCCTTGCCCGGGCCTTGTCGCCATAAAGTGAGGATGGGCAAAGGAATGCCTTGGACCTTGTCCCGCTGGGCCAGGTGGTGTGGGTAACACCCCCCATGGGCACCGAGGAAGGAGAACTGTCCAGATCCGAGGCACAACTACTGCCTGAAGAATATCTTAGTTACGGTGTTGTTACTCAGCTATTTCCCTTATAGAATCCTTTACATATAATCATATATTAGTTTAAAGAATGAGTGCCTCAAGTATACCTTACTGCTTACATACATCTACCTTATATAATCAGTACTTACATTTGCAAGCTTAGTTCTTTTCTTTTTTTTTTTTTTTTTTGAGACGGAGTTTTGCTCTTGTTACCCAGGCTGGCGTGCAATGGCGCGATCTCGGCTCACCGCAACCTCCGCCTCCTGGGTTCAGGCAATTCTCCTGCCTCAGCCTCCCGAGTAGCTGGGATTACAGGCACGCGCCACCGTGCCCAGCTGATTTTTGTATTTTTAGTAGAGATGGGGTTTCACCATATTGACCAGGATGGTCTCGATCTCCTGACCTCGTGATCCACCCGCCTCGGCCTCCCAAAGTGCTGGGATTACAGGCGTGAGCCACCGCGCCCGGCCCTGCATGCTTAGTTCTATATAATATCATACAGGTATCGTGGTCGGAGCTGTACCGACACATTCAGTGCTGATTTACAGAATCCTTCCATAGAACCATATAGTAGTTTGTAGTAGGAGGAAGGCCCGGAGCAGTCACAGAACAGAAGCAGCACGTGGGAAAACAGCCAGACCAGGACGAGAACCAGAGACCCCGGCGGTGGCGCCCCTGCCTGAAAGGGCACACGCTGTGTGGCGGGTCTGGAGCAGGAGCCTCCCCTCCTGATAGAGGAGCTGTAGCACCTGCATCCAGTTCCCGTGGATAGTCAGCCTCAGGCCTGAGATCCTGGAAGTAACCGAGGGAGAAGAACCCTCTGGTGTGACCAGTCACGGCGGCTGTTCACCCTGTCAGCCTTTTCTCTCTTCTGTGCTGGCTCAAATCATCCTCCCATAAATATTCTAAGAGAAGAGCACACATCTGTCAGCTCCCAGTGCACTGGCTTACGGTATCCTTCCATTAGACACCTGCTGCACACAGCCCACCTTGCCTCGGTGACCTAATGGGGGTGGTGGACCCCTTTTCTGTACACGACCCTCTACTACTGCGCACGGCACGGCCCCCTACTGCGCATGGCACACCTCTCTGCCCAGGTGACCTAATAGGGTGGCCCCCTCGCTTGTGACTCACATGATTATACGCCCTATTACTAAGCCTGTAGACGATGGCCTCACTCACGACCCTGCCCCCTGCTTGTACCTAATAAATACAGAGGCTTCTGGGCGTTTGGGGTACCCCCCCCGCTGATCTCCGCTCACAGGTGGTGTGGCCCCCGGAGTCCAGCTGCTCTTCTCCAGTTCTTCAGTGTCCTGTCTCTTTACCTCTTGGATCCTGCACCCCAGCACAGCATAAGGGACATCCCACGACCCTGTGGCCCTACAGCCCTGCAAGGTGGGGCCGTGGGGCCTGTGAGTGACACCCTGACCCAGTGCCCCCAGGTTCTTGGCCCTCTCCCGAGGGTCCAAGCGGCTGTTGAGTCAGTTCCGAAGGTCGCACACACCTGCTCCCACGCTTCTGTGGCTCCTGGCATCTCCAGGGCACAGTTCTCACACCCTGTTCCTTGGTGCAAGGGCACCATCTAGGTTTAGCACAAAATCCGAAATTCTGTGGGAACCTCCACCCCAAACCAGACCCTCCTCTTCTGGCCCAAACCAGACCCTCTTCCTGCACCCTAAACCTCACCCTCCTCTTCTGCCCCAAACCAGACCCTCTTCCTGCACCCCAAACCTCACCCTCCTCTACCTGCAGCTCTCTTTGCCTCCAGGCCGCCTTTCTCTTCTTCTGCACAGCTTCTTCTGCTGAAGCCCACAGGACACCTCCTCCAGGAAGCAACCCAGATTGCACTTTCCCCAGAACCCATCATCTGAGTGACTCCTTTGTGTCAGGCCTTGTACTGAGCCCCATCTTAGGCATCATCTTTTTTTTCTTTTTTTTGAGACAGAGTCTCACTGTGATGCCCAGGCTGGATGCAAGGGCACAGTTTTGGCTCACTGCAACCTCCATCTTCATGGGTTTGAGTGATTCTCCTGCCTCAGCCTCCTGAGTAACTGGGACTACAGACGCATGCCCCCATTCCCAGCTAATTTTTGTATTTTTTTTTGAGCTGGTCTCACTGTGTTGCCCAGGCTGGATGCAGTGGTGTGATCTCGGCTCACCACAAGCTCCGCCTCCCAGGCACAAGCAATTGTCCTGCCTCAGCCTCCCGAGTAGCTGGGACTACAGGCACCTGCCACCATGTGCCCAGCTAATTTTTGTATTTTTAGTAGAGATGGGGTTTTCACCATCTTGGCCAGGCGGGTCTCGAACTCCTGACCTCATGATCTGCCAGCCTTGGCCTCCCAAAGTGCTGGGATTACAGGCGTGAGCCACCGCGCCCGGCCGACTTTCGCTCTTGTTGCCCAGGCTGGAGGGCAATGGTGCGATCTTGACTCACTGCAACCTCCACCTCCCAGGTTCAAGTGATTCTCCTGCCTCAGCCTCCCAAGTAGCTGGGGTTACAAGCATGCGCCACTGTGCCCGGCTATTTTTGTATTTTTAGTAGAGATTGGGTTTCTCCATGTTGATCAGGCTGGTCTTGAACTCCCGACCTCAGGTGATCCACCCGCCTTGGCCTCCCAAAGTGCCGGGATTACTGGTGTGAGCCACCACACCCAACCCCTCAGTCCTTCTAGAAAGAAAACCACCGCCCCTCCCTGAACTGGAAAGTGGCTTCAGCACCGTGAAGGGGAGAGACTGTGGGGAGGGAGGTTGAAATGAACACACACCATGTGTCACGACATCTTCTGTGCGTATCAAATGTCAGAAACGAAAATAGGGAGAACACTGAAGACCAGGCAGGACTGGCAAATAAATCCCACACAGACAGAGCTGAGCTTTCGTCCCAAAGCGCGACGCACAGATAGCGGGGGACCCGAGACCTCCTCCTCCATGGACCCACCTGCACAGCTCACCGAAAGTCTTCCCTTCCCCCACCCAAAACCCTCAGCCCAGGCCTCGCTCTCTCCCGCTGTGGCCACAGGTCCACACCCTTCCTGCGGCCCAGAGCCTGGTATACCGCAGGTGCCTAATAAATGCTGGCTGAGCAAACCCCACTCACCCCAGCTGCTCAGACCCGGGGGTCGGGTTCCTCGTGCTGGAATGCAGACTGGCCCCGTGGTGCCTTCTGGCCCTGAAGGGCTGGGCGGGTCCACACCCTGCACCCTGGCGGGTACAGGAGTGTTTGCCGAGTGAGTGGACAGCGGTTTACACAGCGGGATTTATAACCCACATCAGACGTCACCTCTGGGAGAAACAGAGCCATCCACCCCGTCTCGAGTAGGCGGCGGGTCTCCCAGGGGTGCGGTGGGGACGAGGGTACCGTATCCTCCCGTGATCATTCCTACCTGGTGACTCACTGAAGCCAGGTGGGGCCCGGAGCCTGGCTCTTGGGTTCAGGGCCACTGGGTCCACTCCCCTGCTGTCCTGGGCCTCCGTGCCCTGCCCCCGGAGGGTGGGCAGAGCCTGCAGATTCGGCTACCACACCCGAGGGGCTGAGATGCGATTGGGCACCCTGCGCCTGGTATACAGTGGGTGCTCAATAAATGCTCTCTTGGTGGTTGTGCTGGTTGCTGATATTACAACTTTTTTTTTTTTTTTTTTGGAGACGGAGTCTCGCTCTGTGGCCAGGCTGGAGTGCAGTGTCGTGATCTCAGCTCAATGCAACCTCCACCTCCAGGGTTCAAGCGATTCTCCCGCCTCAGCCTCCTGAGTGGCTGGGACTACAGGGGTCCGCCAACACGCCCGGCTAATTTTTGTGTTTTTAGTAGAAACGGGGTGTCACCAAGTTGGCCAGGATGGTCTCAATCTCTTGACCTCGTGATCCGCCTGCCTCGGCCTCCCAGAGTGCTGGGATGACAGGAGTGAGCCACCGCGCCCGGCAGCTGATATTTGTATAGAGTCCCAGTAACTCGGGAGGCTGAGGCAGGAGAGTCACTTGAACCCGGGAGGTGGAGGTTGCAGTGAGCCAAGATGGCACCACTACCCTCCACCGAGGATCTCAGGATCTCATGGCAGGCATTCTCCGCTGCGAAGCCCATGGGGAGCGATGCTGGCCCTCATGGGAAAAGCCCCAGGGAGGAAGATGGCCCCTTCAAGGCCCCTCGGTGGTGGGGAACTTCCCCCTTCAAGGCCCCTCCGTGGTGAGGGCCTCCCCCCTGCAAGGCCCCTCGGTGGTGAGGGCCTCCCCCCTCCAAGGCCCCTCGGTGGTGGGGACCTCCCCCCTGCAAGGCCCCTCGGTGGTGGGGACCTTCCCCCTTCAAGGCCCCTCCGTGGTGAGGGCCTCCCCCCTGCAAGGCCCCTCGGTGGTGAGGGCCTCCCCCCTTCAAGGCCCCTCGGTGGTGGGGACCTCCCCCCTGCAAGGCCCCTCGGTGGTGGGGACCTTCCCCCTTCAAGGCCCCTCCGTGGTGAGGGCCTCCCCCTGCAAGGCCCCTCGGTGGTGAGGGCCTCCCCCCTCCAAGGCCCCTCGGTGGTGGGGACCTCCCCCCTGCAAGGCCCCTCGGTGGTGGGGACCTTCCCCCTTCAAGGCCCCTCCGTGGTGAGGGCCTCCCCCCTGCAAGGCCCCTCGGTGGCGAGGGCCTCCCCCCTGCAAGGCCCCTCGGTGGTGAGGGCCTCCCCCCTCCAAGGCCCCTCGGTGGTGGGGACCTCCCCCCTGCAAGGCCCCTCGGTGGTGGGGACCTTCCCCCTTCAAGGCCCCTCCGTGGTGAGGGCCTCCCCCCTGCAAGGCCCCTCGGTGGCGAGGGCCTCCCCCCTGCAAGGCCCCTCTGTGGTGAGGGCCTCCCCCCTGCAAGGCCCCTCTGTGGTGAGGGCCTCCCCCCTGCAAGGCCCCTCCGTGGTGAGGGCCTCCCCCCTGCAAGGCCCCTCGGTAGTGGGGACCTCCCCCCTTCAAGGCCCCTCCGTGGTGAGGGCCTCCCCCCTGCAAGGCCCCTTGGTGGTGGGGACCTCGGCACCCTGTCACCCCTGCAACCTCTTGGAGCCGATTTTGTCCGGGGTTTTTGGGAGAGGGAGCTGAAACCCACAGAGATCCCGCCCGTCAGAGGCCATACAGCAATGACAGAACCAGTGTTTGAAGCTGGTTTTCAGACTTTGCTTCAAATCACCTCCTCCTACAGGAAACCCTCTGGGTTGCTCCTCCCAGCCCCACCCTGTGCCCTGTGAATGCCAGAATGAAACTGGGTTTATGGGCCCTGGGGCCCCACCCCTGCTTCCTCATCAGCCGGTTGACCTCCATCCAAGGGGCAAAGGCTCCCTGCTGGGGTCAGGCCTCGGGAGAGGAGTCACGCGGCAGGGAGGGGCCTGTTCCTCTTTCTCATCCCTCTGGGCTGCAATCATTTTTGAGTCATTTCAGCTCCTTGGGCCCCTGGGCAGAGATCCATCGGCAGACACCGGGCAAGTCGCTGCTGGCCGCCCGGGATCCCAGGCTAGAACCTCACCCCCACCCCAGGATCCAGGCCGAGCCTCCAGCCCCCGCCCTGAGGCTGCTTCCACCTGGACTCCGCCACTCCTCCTCCGAGTCCCCAAACCAGCCCCAGCCCACGGGGGGCATTTGCTCTCCAGAGCCTCCAGTCAGGGGCCTGGTGGGGTGAATAAGTATCTTTCTAGATGCCTCTGGAATTCCCCAAATCACAGAGGGGCCGCTCTGGCCTCTGGCCATGGGGGTGCCAACCCGGCCCCACCCTCAGACAGTTCTGTGATTTGGGGTTCAACACTTGTGGTGGAAACTGAAGCCCCCGCAGAGTTCAGGGACAAGGGCCTCACTCTCTCGGTGGGTCCCCTTGAGGCCCCACAGTGCATGGGGGGCAGAGGGAAAGGCACCTCAGGGAGTCCCTGAGGGGAGTGGCATGGGGCAGGGGACCTCCCTGCACCCAAGTGCTCCCAGGTAAGCAGACCCCGCCCATAGGCGACACCCCCATGCAAATGTGGACCCAACCCTACACGGGCCCCGGCCCGGCATAGCCCAGGTTGCCCCCAGCCTCACCTGCCAGCTCCTGGCCCCGAAGGCTGCGGCCTCAGCTCTGGCTCCTCGATGGGCACAGAGGCCTCTGAGCTCCGCCCCACCTGCCAGGTTGCCAGGGGACAGAGGCCCCACCCAGGGGAAGCAGGTGTGCCCCCTCCTCCCCAGCCCCACCTGGGCTCGGCTCAGGAAACAAAGTCCAGAGGAGGAGGGAGAAAGACGATACCAGGCTGGGCGAGGGTGGGCACGGTGCCCGCTGTGGGCTGCCCCTCCACTCCCAGGGCCTCCACACAGCCCCAAGGAGCCAGAACTCAGCCGAAATCACCCTCAGCGGCCTGGCTCTCCTGCCGCCTCTCAGCCCTGCTTAGAGGGGGACAATGTGTGCCCAGGGTCACATAGTAGCTCAGGGGCCACAGCGGCCTGTGTGTCCTGGGGGGTCGGAGGGGCTGAGTCCCAATCCTGTCTGTGCCTCCTGCCCCATCCCACCCCTTAGGGCAACTCCGCTAGTTGGCCCCTTTCTTGCATAGAGCAGGCTTGGGAGATTCTGGGGGTTCTCATCCCACCTGACCTCTCTGGGCCCCATTTCCTCCTCCGGGACGTGGGGGAACATCAGGCCCAAGCTCCTTCAGGGCTGCTGGGGAGAATTCCCCAGGCCCCATCCACATAAAGAACCCTACAAGGGGGGCCGGACGCGGTGGTGGCCTGTAATCCCAGCACTTTGAAATGCTGAGATGGGCAGATCACTTGGGGCCAAGAGTTTGAGACCAGCCTGGCCAACATGGTGAAATCCCATGTCTACCAAAAATATAAAAATTAGCTGGGCACGGTGGCACGCGCCTGTAATCCCAGCACTTTGGGAGGCCGAGGCGGGTGGATCACGAGGTCAACAGATCGAGACCATCCCGGTCAACATGGTGAAACCCCGTCTCTACCAAAAATACAAAAATTAGCTGGGCACGGTGGCGCGTGCCTGTAATCCCAGCTACTCGGGAGGCTGAGGCAGGAGAATTGCCTGAACCCAGGAGGCGGAGGTTGCGGTGAGCCGAGATCGCGCCATTGCACTCCAGCCTGGGTAACAAGAGCGAAACTCCATCTCAAAAAAGAAAAGAAAAGAAAAGAAAAAAACTGCACAAGGTTAAAAGACCCAGCCCCCCTTGAAAGCTGGGGACATGGAGGTCCTCAGGCACCCATGGTCCTCCTGGATTTTTGGTCAAGGCGCAGAGGCCCTGCTGGGACCGTGGGTAGCAGCATCTGTGGAGAAGCCAGGCCACTGGCCTAGCGCCATCTATGAGGGCGAGGAACACAGCAGAGGGGGCACGGGCTTCAGTTCCCCAGGCTGGGGCTCTGTCCTGACCTACCCCTTGGCTGCTCGTGGAACCCCTCTGAACCTCAGTCTCTTCTTCCAGTAAAAAGGCTCCCAGCTCTGAATCTGGCAATCTGGCAGGGCTGCTCAGGATGGGGTTTTTTTTTTTTTTTTTTTAAGACAGAGTCTTGCTCTGTCACTCAGGCTGAAGTGCACTGGCGACATCTCAGCTCACTGCAACCTCCGCCTCCTGGGTTTAAGCGATTCTCCCGCCTCAGCCTCTCGAGTAGCTGGGACTACAGGCATTCGCCACCACGCCCGGCTAATTTTGTATTTTTAGTAGAGACGGGGTTTCTCCATGTTGCTCAGGCTGGTCTCGAACTCCTGACTTTAAGTGATCCACCCGCCTCGGCCTCCCAGGCGTGAGCCACTGTGCCGGCCAGGAGGGGGGCGTTTAAGCAAAGATCTGGATAGAGGACCCACCCTGAAGGGCAGCTTGGCACCCAACACCGCCAGGCCTGTGAAACCCAGGGTGCGCCGCCTCACGGCACCTCCCACTGCCCCCTTCACATCCCCTTCTCCCTGTCTCGTACATAAGGAAATTGAGGCGCAGAAAGCTTAAAATCCTGCCTCAGGAATGACCAGGGGTGAGGCCGGCACTGGACCCCGGGTTCCCTCGTGGATGCACTCCGCCACGCTCACCACTTTACTGGGGAAAACTGAGGGCCCAACAGGGCAGAGGCTGGATCCTCACGGGCTGGGGCCACTGTGGAGACGGGGACTCAACCGTCCTGCGCCCAGGCTGAGGCTGGCCTCCCACTCTGGGATCCCAAGGCCTATTTCATTTCACATATTTTTTGAGACAGAGTCTTGCTCTGTCGCCCAGGCTGGATTGCAGGCGCAATCTCAGCTCACTGCAGCCTCTGCCTCCCGGGTTCAAGTGATTCTCCTGCCTCAGCCTCCCGAGTAGCTGGGACTGTGGGAACGTGTCACCACGCCCGGCTAATTTTTGTATTTTTAGTAGAGACAGGGATTCCCTATTTTGGCCAGGCTGGTCTCGAACCCCTGGCCTCAGTTGATCTGCCCGCCTCGGCCTCCCAAAGTGCTGGGATTGTAGGTGTGAGCCACCGCGCCCGGCCCCGAAGGCTTATTTTACAGATGGCGGAACAGGCCCAGAGGAGGCAGTGACTTCTCCAAGACCAGAGCCCGACAGAGAGCGGGGCTGCCGGGCACCTTCCCTGGAGCAGGCGCTGGTCTCTACACACAGACCCTTCCTCCCCAGCCCCGCTGTGTATCTCCAGGGGCCAGTTTCTCTGCAGAGCTTGGGGGTGTCCAGGGGACCCTTCTGTTATCACCCAGGGGCTGTGAGCCCAGCAAAGTGAGGAACCAAAGGGCAGGGTGGGGTGAGTGCAGAACCCAGAGGCCCCCCAGGAAGCCAGGCCTGCCCCCGACAGCAGCCCCTTACCCAGGCCTTACCTGCACAACTGGATTCCGCCAGTTCCTCCCACCACCCACGGCACCCAGGGTGAGCCTAGCAGGTGAACAGGCGCAGGCGGGCGAAGCCAGCTCTCCTGAACTGCGCTCAGCCTCCCTTTTATGGCTCCGAGGCCTGCAGGCCCCACTCCCTGGCCTGGCCACGCCTTCCTCGCCGGGTTGAAAGCCAAGGACTCCAGGAACTGGGGCTGTTCACGCTGTTTATTTGCTTCTCTGGGAAAATCAAGAACATTGGGGGCCTCGTCACACACCGAAAGCAGAGGGGCAGCAAGGGCACTTCAGCGAAGGCTCGCGGCTCGAGGGACTCGGGCAGACTCGAGGGAGGAGGAGTGGGGGGTCCATGGCTGATGTCCAGGTCACCCCCGAGAGGGCCGCTCCTCCCAGCCACCCAGGGGCAGAGCGGAGGCAGGGACCCAGGCTCGCCTCTGAGGTG